CGGCAGTATTTAGAACCAAACCAGAAGATCTTTGCTTTTCTGCAAGCAGAGTCCCAAAAAATAACTATGCAAACTAATATGTTCACCAGCTGTAGTCCCAGGGATGCTGACAGAAGACAGCAGCCTCCTGAAACAAAAGAATGTTACTCATGGCAGGTAGTAGCAGGATGGCTGAGCTAGCTGAACTGGTTCCTTGGCCCACATCTGAGATGATGGCCAGGGGAACCAGCATACACAATGTGCTACACCATAGGAGAGGAAAGCTGAGTTTATGAAATCTGATTTTTCAGAAAGTCATATGCTCCTGTTATTTGACTCCAGGATCACAAGGTGTATTTCAGAACTAGGCGGTACCTTCTTAAATGAGTTAGCTCACTTCTGAGGATTGCTGGTTGAATGAGTAGTAATAAGAAGTAGCCCTGGGGGAAAAAACAGTCATTAAGAAAATGACATTAGCACACTCAGCAAGAGGAATAGGAGGGCAAGATGCCCACAGAAGGCTATCTCTTGATAGTAATGTGAATGGTGTTCAAAGAATGATATGGCTAGATTGCCAACCCTAAGGAACTTATCAGAAATGCAAACCTGGACTTCAGTCCAGACTTAGGAAATCAGAAATCCAACAATCTGAGTTCCACAAGCCCACTTGGGAATTCTAAAGCTCACCAAAGTGTGACAACCAAGAGTGTAAGGGCAAGGATTCTTGATAGCATTCAGGATTCTGAATCTAGCCAGGGGTTCTACCAACTTCTTTCTTATTCTCTATGGGTCTTGGTATCTTTCCAGCAATAGGAGAGTGTTACATAATTCCTTATTGCTTATTGCTCAAATTTAATGAAATTCTAAATGTTTTGACACAAAGTTTTGTGTTTCCTATACTAAAGATTTTCAAATGCATATGGGAAATATTGGCAAAGCAGGAGAGATCAGCTAGCAAACAGGCTTGCCTGAAGGGTTTCATTACCTTCCTCCACAATTCGTAGTCTGAAGTTAGTCTTACAGACTCACAGAATTTATTTATCAGGACCACAAACAAGTGCAAAGTAGCCAATCTTGAGGCTGGCATGCACATTCAGAAGAAGTTTACAATGAACCTATTACTAGACTAGCCTTGAATCCTCTGGCCTAAGCATTCTTTTCCAGTAGAAAAACTGCTAGAAATCGTGATTAGACGTTATTCTTGGGGAGCATGGATTTAGAATAGAGTTGGCTATATGATTGAGTCGGCAGAGATTGCCCATATGTCTGGATCTACAATAGGAAAACCCTGCTTGTCACAAGCCGGGTTGATTTCCAGTATTTCCCAAAAAACTTCTATTTTTTGTAATTTCATACTAAACAAGACATTTCAAATCACCACTCCTGTTTCTCTGGGTGATTTTAGAAGCTTTGGTTATTTTCTAATGAACTCTCAAAGACCAAGAAATCTTCTGCCTCTCTGAAGCAACATTGCTTAGTCTCTGCTTTCATCATTTAAGTCTTGATTTTAAAGTTAAAATCTCAGAAGACAATCTGAGAGTCTTCTTTCCAAATTTCTCATGGGTTACCTTACTTTTGTGCTTTCTCATGGTTCCTGTCCCACCTTCCTGCACCCCAAGTGGTCATCAACTAAAGAATGGAAACTATTCAGCCTCCAAGAACAACATAGTGGAGCAAGTGCTTGCATTTGTAGACATTCCAATATGTTATCTCTCTTGGTTTCCATTTCTGTTTTTGTGAATTGAATTTTTAGTATGAAAGTATAATGTAATCTTGTCCCCAAGAGCTTATTAACAAAAGGTAAATTTTAGCTGAGATAATAAATGTTTATAATAAATGCTAGTGATAATATATAAAGATAATAGATGCTGAGAATGTTTGCATTATTTAGAAATTTAAATTAAATTGTATCTCATTTGTAATGAGACATTCATTAAAGCCAAATATATTCACATTAGTCACGAAAAGTGAGTGGCTGAACATTTAAGAAATGTGATCAAAGGCGATGATAAATATAGATAATTCCTGTTTATAAGACTTTGTTTTCTATAAAAATGTTATGTAGCCTGTATCACCCACATAATTTCTTTCATTGTTTTGCTTTTATAGTTGCCACCTGAAAATATAGACTATCTAAATTTCTCTAATTTCTTTTTAGTTTTAAATCTCAATTAGAAAAGTTAAAAATTTCTGATACTGAAGAAATCACAATACTTCCTTAAAAATATGCACTTTTTTGCTACGTCCATAAATAAAGTGTATTTATTGCACATGCTGCTGTACTTATTTTATTTCAAACACATTAATGCATGAAGTTTAAAATTAAATGTGCTTGCCCTGTAGATTAATATTATCTTTTTTATCTTTGTCAAATAGAAGTAAATTGCTTGATTCAATAGAATCCAGTGCCACCTAAGTGGCTGTCTTTGTTATTTTTCAGAAATGAGAGACACTGAGAGTTGAAAAAGCATTCATCATCAAGAGAATTTGTTTTAAGAGTATCCAAGCTCCCAAACAGCCAGCACATAAATTATCCACTATTCAAGAGAGCACAATTAGTTTTACATTATATTCTACTAAACAAACCAGTTCCTGAAGTGCCCATCTTTCTTAAAAAAAGGCAGCAAGAATGTCATTTATCCTCTTTGTCCCAGGCGTTTGGTAGCCTTTTCTCAGATGACAAGTCCTAGGAAAGCTTTGTGGATGTATCTTGTCATTGTCTCTGGACAAAGAAAATTATATTCATTGGTGTCCATATGGTTAGTAACACCTACTTAAAATGCAACATTAATGAAGCTTTTGTTTTATGCCAGTGACAGGCAAAAGCTTTGTAGCTCTATGGCAGGAAATATGATTTCAATAAATTTTGTTCAAACCTAACTTTTGTCTTCCCACAATAATTATTTTTATGTTGTCACTTATAATTAAAAAGCAAAGAAAAGAATATGAAAAATCATACTAAGGATGATAGAAATTGTACAAAAAGTCTTCAGGTTGATTTTTTTTCCGTAATAAAATAGTCACTAAATAGTCAACATTAGCTCCTTTAAGATGTACAGAATAGTATAAGAATATAATAAATTAATGTCATCTGCCAAGAGTTACCCTGGAGAAACACAATGATTAGTAAACTTTACAAACACAGTAGCTGCAACACTTTTAGCATTTTCTGTTTGTAATAAGAAAGTGATCGATGGAGTCTTTGGAGAAAGAATGCGATTGTAATCACATAAATAGCCTTAGTTCCTACATAGAAATATTGTCAATCAACACAGAAATTGTCATGCCTTATTTTCACGTATCCTCATGAGTCTTCAGGTTAATTTAATTTCTTGAGTTATTTTTTAAAGGATTTTATATTTTTAATTATTATGTATATTTTAAAGAAATATTTTGTACACATATTTTTAGAAAGAGTTTAACTGCTTTCAAACAACTTGTTGATTAACAAATGTTATTTCTTTTTTATAATAAATTAAGTTTATTGTTACAGTTTAGGTATACATAAAGATTACACTCATCATAGGGAATTTGTGCCTGTACATGACATACCTTGATTCTTATTTCATTCCATCCCCTTACCCTTCCTTCAATCTCTCCTCCCTTTCTTATTTACTCATTTTTACATGGATAACTGAGATTTTATACGTGCATATGGTTATATACAAAACTTCCTTTATGCCATACAAAAAAATAGCATCCCATTGTGTTCCATAAATTCAAAACTTTGAGCTTTAAAGACTAATTGACTCTTCCTGTGCATATAAACACAGTCTAGAATTACATGAACAATACATTTGAATAATGTTTTTATTTCACAAATGCACATATGTGTAATTAATATGTAGTTAAGGAGGAGAAAGTGAAAAGGAGTGAAAAGAGACACAGAGTATCAAAATATCAAAAAATATTTTTGCCTTACTCCTGGAAGTTTCTTTCTTAGGGATATTTTCTTAAATATTTTTAACTGTAAAAAAAAAAAAAAAGGGCTGGTGATTTAGCCCAGTGGCACTGTGCCTGCCTCACAAGCACAAGGTCCTAAGTTTGATTCCTGGTACTGGAAAAAATAAATAAATAAAAAACTATTAAGGTAGTATGTCTTATTACTTTTTAGGTGTGATGTATTAAAGTTTTAAAATTAAAGTTGCTAGACATTTATTAGAGTTATATTTACAAGTATAGTAAGTTATACAAATATTTCTAAGAGTCCTTTGAAAAGTGATTAGCCCAGATTAATTAAATGCATTCAAATGCAAATGATATTTGAAAATGTGATGTATTCGATATCCTGTCATAAGTAACTTGTCTGGTTTAACAATAGTCTTTTCTGAGAATGAAAAATTTCTTAAAATATAATAAATTAAATGTAACAATGTGATAACCTGATGTTTTCTTACTTTCTATTGTCATGCAGAAACATATTAAGATTTTAAATCTTAAAACTGAAACCCTATACTATATATAATACATATTTATTATATTTTAAGAAATTTTTCATTCTCAGAAAAGACTAAAAGAAACCAGACAAGTTACTTAAGACAGGATATCGAATACATTACATTTTTAAATGTCATTTATATTTGACTGTAACCTTGTTTCTATGTCTTCAATTCTTAAAACAGATACATATATTTCAGAGTCTTAGAGGGGGAAAAATATTTTATAGTCAGTCACTTTTGTTAAGGGCAGGAAAGATTCATGAGCAAATAAAATTTTTTTCCCTAGCCTGGAACTTCTTGACCTTCTGACTTAGATAAGATCACTGACTTGGACAATTGCTAATCTTGGGCAACAAATTAGCTGGATTTAAAAATCCATACTCTGCTATAAAAGTAAATGATTTTAGGATTGCCTAGAACAATGAATCTAAGCATTTATCATTAAAAATTTGTCCCGAAGATCTAATTATTTCTTTATCCTTCTCTTGATTTAACCTTAAAATCCAATTCACATACTTACATGCTAACAATAATGATGAAACACAAATCTCTGTATTTTAAAATAACTTTCTCTTTTTTCAGTTTCTACAGATAAAGTGATCTGAAGCAATGTATGATACCGCAAAAGCAGAAAAGAGAAACTGTGACAACCCCCAGAAATGTGAAAGGAGGTTTCTTACTGGATAGCAGCATCTTTGCTTCGATTTATATAAAAATCCCAAATAAATAAATGGACAGTATCATCCAATTTCAGAAATTCCATTTCTTCTATGTTCTAAGCTGTACAATTGTCAGGATTTTATGGTTTAAATTGTAAATGTGTTTTCCTTCTTGCTGATTACTTTTTTTTAAGTCTTAAAATGTGAAGGACATTTATGAATGGTAGGAGAGACTCTGTATACAAATGTATATTTGTAAAAGCTATTTTTATGATTAGCATGTTTCATTGTCGATCGTATATAGTCAGGTGATATTGCAATTCTATGTTTAAAGCTTATTCCCAATAACAACATGCAATGTCATGTAAGAAAAGATACATTGTATGCTACTTTTATAATTTATTTTTAATTTATAGTTTAAAGTACTTCAGATCATAAGGATAAAACACTTGAAAAAGTTATATTTCTTCCCTCAATAAGCACCATTTTTATTAATAAAGAATGCAACTATGTATTTCAAATGTGATGCAACAGTTAAAGGACTATTGTTTTGACTTGTGACTACTAAATTGAGCATGCTCTGCTCTACTGAACTGGAATGATCCAATTATTACCTAATTATTTCAGTATGGATGTGAGAGTCCATGGACAGGTTTCCATGCTCATGCAGGTGAAAACTAGATGGACAAGAAAAAAGATTGTCTTGTCTTTGGATCCAAAGGTTTTAATCAATGCATATGTCACTTCATTTCACCTCCTGTTTCCAAGGATTCTCCATTCCCAAGCATTGCAAGTGTTTTTCAGATGCTCCTAGCTGTCTTGTGCTGTGGAAATGGAAAGAACCATCTTCACAGTCTGTAGGAAAATTCAGCATATAATTTCTAAATAAATACTTTCTTTTAAAACAAAGTTGGTGTGTGCCTTTTCTTTGGGGTACACTTAGTTTTAATATTCTGTGTGAACTTGTTTAGTCATTGTAATCACACAAAAACTAGGACAATCATGAAAGTAGCATAGCTTTACTGAAGGATGTATTGTATCCTTTATATGCTCACACAATTCATGGAGTGACCTGTATTCTGGAACACATACTTTGCCATGTAAAAGAAAGCCAGATTTTCCTTAATCCTTGATAGAAGTCATACTCCAATTCATATTTCAAAATGGTATATTTTTTTCTCCAAAATAGAATGTTAAGAAACTATTTCAGGATTGAAAACAAATCCACCTCATCAGGAGATATTGGTCTGTACCAGACTGTAAATCTGTAGCTAAATGACCAAAAAGCACTAGCTAAAAGCAGAGAGACATCATACAATGCCATCAAAAAACTTTTAGTATTTTTCAAAGAAACTGAGAGCCTAAAATCACACTAGTATGTTTTCCCTTAATTTTCCATTTAATTTTTAGTATAATCTATCCTCTTTATCTCACAAATATGTTAATGAAAATTGGTACAATTTCACCCCCAAAATAGATAGCAAAAGCTAAAATGTTGAAAAAAATGATTACAGGTCTATCAGTAGGGAAAATAAATATACTACTTTTTTATTTAAAGTCCTCTAGAAATTTGTTCAATGGAACCTAATGTTCAGATCCAAAATGAACTTCATTTTTAAGGAGACATGAAAACCTTAAAGTGATAACACTGTTAACTACTTTTGGTGGCCATAATGGATAGGGGAGGATTTCTGATTTCCCTTGATTAGATTCTAAAACTGTATGTAGTTCCACATGGGAATAAAATCAGCACAGTAATTAGTAGATTTACTACCAAATAGATAAATTTGCTGAGAATAATGCTCCAGAAAAAAAAAATATTGTAAGCTCTGTTTTTCAGGAAATTACATATGTGAATATTTTCCCCATTTTGCTATTTGTCTATCCTTGTAGTATTAAATAGTACCATACTTATAACTTACAATTACCACAAATTATTAATATCATAATTTCCTTGATGATCATTAACTATTGTCAAAATAAGATGAGTAATTAAAATATACAAAAAGAAAATGTATTGTAATTGTTTCTGTCTTTTCTATTCTATTTCATTGGTCTACATGTATATTTTTGTGTTGATACCATACAGTTTTTACTGCTGTGGATTGCAGTATAATTTTAAATATGGGATTGTGATGCTTCCCACTTTACTGTCTGCTCAGGATTGCTTTGGCTGTCCTGAGCCTCTTCTGGTTCCATAGAAATTTTAAGATTGTTTTTTCTAGTTCTGTGAAGAATTTTGTTGGCATTTGGATTGGAACAGCATTAAGCTCTTTCACTGCAGATCCAAAAAATGTTCACCACATAGGAATATTAATTTAAAAGAAAATCCAGTTTTATTTACAGAAAAATGAAATTGTAACATAATCAGATAATACATCTCAGGACGTTTCAAATAGGTACTCCAAAATAGCTAAAGCTAAAGTTCTGATAGAAAATGTTATGTTTGAAACATGTTACACCCAACATATTTTAGTTAATGTGTGAGGGCATGAGGGAAACATCTTAGCTGTCTAGACTCAGAACATATGCTGTTGTGTTGAATTCCTGAAAACATTCCAGAATAATTCGCTTGAAGATATATACTGTATAATTTCAAAATATCAAAGTTTAAGAGACAATTTTAGAATGCCTAATGATGATTTCCAAATTCAATAAATCATATTTGTATATGCAATCTTTGAAAATACATTTATAAAGTGGAATAAAAAATTTGCACACAAAAATATGATAATCTATGATGTATGTGTAAATATAATCATAGCTAAAATACTACCTGCTTTTTAAATTCCAGATTGAGTTAATAACTTGATTAGGAGAGAACATGAAAAGAAAATATATGTTAATGACTGATCACACACAGGTCCCTTCATTTACTAAATATTCATTAAGAATCTATTATTTGTATTTACCAGGCACTCTTCTAGATTCTTAAGATACATCAATCGATGAACAAAAGAAATGACATCCTTCACCTTTGTGACAGTACAGTATGTCGAGATTATGTTTATATAAAAATAATTATGATAGAATTAAAAACAGACTGTATACCTTACAAATATACCTAATGATGACAAAATCAAGATATTATTTATACCCTAAAGGAGAAAGGGAGGATGGAAGTCAAATAGAAGCAAAGTTCTTTTTTTAAATGTCTACAAGCAGAAATGAGAAAATGCCATTTAAAACATTAAGTAAAAATAGGTTAAATCAACCTCTTGACAGGAAAAAAATGTAGGTTATCAAAATCAGTGATGTGCTACATAGAAAAGTCACAAGAAAAATATTACAAAAGTTAATAATAAACAAATGACCCCATACCCCATTTCCATATCCCAAAAGCCTTAACACTCAGAAGTTTTTCACATGATTCAAATTACATACTCAAGAATGGCTTGTTTCCTGCCATATAATTCATTACAGAATGCATAAAAAAGTGCGAGTCTCAAAATAATTCAATTTATGAGGCCACCATGATTCTCACATAAAACTTTTACATAAAAGTAGAATGCAAAAGCTAAACACAAATAACTTATTCATATAGATGTAAAAATCTGAGGTCAAAATACTTGCTGACATGGAGCTTTATGAGAAAAGTTCCCCCCCCCACACACACACCTTTATACATATTAAAACAATATTTCACTCCATGTTGAAGAAGGTATTACAATTGAAGTTGCATGTAAAGCAAGAATATCCTCTATTTAAATTAATATTTTATTTTATTTTATTCTCAAAGAGGAAGTTAGTTCGGTAAACCAAGAAGCAGAAATGAGTACAATGACTACTAGAAAAAATAATAACACTATTTCTTTGTTTAAATATGATGTGGACTATCAACCTCCAAAGCCAAAAAAGGCACAAAGAAATACTATTATAATAAACACTATACCTTAGATATGAGGTTTTTAAAAAAAGAATTATCCAAAGTAAAATCTTATAGCTTTGTAATATACAAATAATTACTGAAAATATAATGAAAAATTACTTGTTACAATGATATTCAATTAAAATACTCAAAATGATAAACTCAAAATATAAGCTTGTATTTTTTTGCTGTCACCTCCATATATACCTTGAATCCATCTACTCTTCATAATCCCATCTCCAGTATGCTTTTAATTTATCTCGTGTTCCCACTTTATTCATGGTTCCAATCTAAGAGCCATTCTTTAAATTGCCAATATAAAATATGAATTGATAACTTCATTTAAAAGTTAAAAATCATACTGAGCCCTTGTCATTGCTTAGGAGGCTCTGCATGTCTAGCCCCTGCTGACTTCTGTCTGCTCTTGGGATATAGTTTTCTGCACTTTAAATCTTTACCTCTGATAGTTCCGGAACTAGAATGCTCTCCCTCCATCTCCTCATGAAAACAGTATACACTCATTCACCAGTGCCCAAATTAAGACAATACCATTCTGACATAGGTCTCTTCCACCCTCTGCTCTGAACCCATTATTATTTGTTGAAACACCTTGACTTTATTTTATAGTGTTCCTTGATTCATAACTTACATACTTGCCTATAGTCGTACTGCTTTGTTTTTCACTAACTTAGAGGTCTTTAGAAAACTGAGGATATAGTTCATGTCCTTTATCACAGCATCCAGTTCAGTGACTTGTACATAAAAGGAAAGATATAATAATATCAATGAAATTTGTATTTTAATGATCTCTCATTTATTCTGAATCCTATGTAGAATGATAAGCAAAATAAATAGCAAATAAAACTAAAAGTAAGTAAAAGAATTGGTAAGCAAATGGGAGACATGCTATTCCATTGGAATAATAGTTAAAGTTTTAGAAAGTTTAAAACTCAAAGGAAAAAATGAAGGAAATGAAGAAACATAGACATCATTGAATAAAATAAAACATTCTGGAAAGACTACCTAATATAAAAGAACTTACTATTTAATAAAAGTGTTTATTAACTATATCAATGAAAATAATATAATCATAAATAAACCTGTGGCAATTATTTAGGCACCTTTTGAAATATATAAACTATGATACTATACTCATTACAATAAATGACTTAGTGGTATTTTTAAATCAAAACTTCAAAATATCTTGTATAAGACCTTCACTTCCCCCTCTCTGGATAGAGTAATGTTCTCTGTGCATAAAAGCAAGAAGAACTCACAAGGGAAAACATTTTATTACAAAATAATTAACAACTGCTAGTCAATAATTCAAATAAACTACAAGTTTTGAATATTTAAGATTAATTAATTTAATTTATAGAATGATCAAAATGATAAGAAAATTTAAGTACATCTGGGAAAATGGCAGGAAGAGCCAATTTGCTAAAGTTTACCACCTGTCTTTGTTAAACACATGCTAGCTGGAGGCAGGGATATTGTGTAAGATCACCTGATGCCTTTCTGAAGAGGATGTGGCCTTGTTAATGATGTTTACCTCAAGAGCCAAGAAAGATGTATCTTTGTCTACCCAGCCTTCTAGAAAAATTTTTAGTATAAACTCTTGAGGAGCAGTGATGAAACACGGAGTATAAGTGACACTGGTATAGTGATCATTTTGCTTGTTTTTGCTTCTCACGTCTGAAAACCCTACAACCATCAGTGATCCCCGAAGAAACAAGGATTAACGAGAAAGCTGCATGGAGATAACTAGAATCCTGCTAACTCAAATCTGTACTTTCCGAGTCCGAGGTTAATAATTATACAAGGGTTCAACCTGTAGATTTCTTTCTCCACTTTTATTCACTTTCACATTAACGCACACACAATTGTATCAAACAAATATTTTATTTTCATCTATTTGAAAATGTCCCAAATTATTAGCCTGCCCAGCACACAATCCTATACCTCCTGGGAAATCTAGTTTACAGGTAAAACTGATGGCATGAAACATATACCTTCATATCCATTTTGGTCATTAATGAAA